AGATTTCTGAGGGTTTTTTTTTAATGATGCTGCATGATAGGAAGAGGTATTTGTCACAGTGGAACTTTTTTGGCTTTCCTTTTCCTTGTTAATCCAGTTTTTTAAAAAAAAAACATAGATAAGGAAAACCAAAAGAAGTTCCACTGTGACAAATACCTCTTCCCATCATGCAGCATCATATGATGAGAGAGATAAGGTGCATAAGACTTTCCACTAAGCGGTGGGGTTATAAACCCAAAGTACAGTGCTGCTCAACCACAGCACAGGCCTTTATCAGAGTAACAATATTACGTTTGTGTAGAGAATGACCACAATATATCAGTAGATTCAGGACTTAATAGCAAGTTTATTTGCAAAACAACTAAGGCTTCTGTAGGACACCTTCAGAATTCCAGATATAATTGTCCTCCTGCAAAACAAATGGTTATCAAGAGCTACTTGACTAAACAAGATGGACATTGGTTATCTTAGGCTGCATCTACACCAGTGGTTGCCAACTTTCTTTCTTTTCTTTTCTTTTTTGCCATGGACCACTCTCAAACATTAGTACCAAAAGGGTTATGAATCAGTTTTTGGTCAACTTTAGATTCGGTTTGGTTATTTGGGGTGCTGATTCAGAAAATTGTATTGGATAGATCACATCAGCTCTAGTTTCTGATACAGAACATATCCCATCCAGTAGTCGCCATCTGCTCGCCCATAGAAAACCATATTTAATAAGCTTCAGCACTATAAGAGGGCTTTGCGTTGCTCTCGTTGCAATGGTGTAGTAACAGTGAGGCCAAGGTCCATATTTTAGTTGTTGCAGACCACTGGTGGTCCACAGACCACAGGTTGGGAACCACTGATCTACACTGTAGAATTAATGCAGGTCAACACCACATTAACTGCCATGCTCAATGCTATGAAATCCTGGATGCTGTAGTTTGGTAAGGCACCAGCACTCTTGGGAAGAAAAGGCTAAAGGCCTTGTAAAACTACAACTTCCATAATTCCACAGCATTGAGCCATGGAGCCAAAGTGATGTCGACTATATTAATTACATAGTGCAGATGCATCTTTAGCCACTCCATGAAGGATTATATAGACCTAACTGCCTATGTACATTTCTGCCTGGATTTACTGTAACTAGTCTCAGCATCTACACATAATTAAAACAAAAAACCAAAACACAACATATTTTCTCCAAAAGTTAATACATTCTTTTCTATTTTTTATTTACGTTAATACAAGTCATGTTTCAAAAACAAAAGATTCAACAGCATAGTCAGTCTATGGCAATGGCTCTCAACCTGTGGGTCCCCAGGTGTCTTGGTCTACAACTCCCAGAAATCCCAGCCAGTTTATCAGCTGTTAGGATTTCTGGGAGTTTAAGGCCAAAACATCTGGGGAACCCACAGGTTGAGAACCATTGGTAGGTATATGGTGATAAATGAGCTATGGAAATTCAGGATGCATCTATACTATAGAATTAATGCAGTTTGATACCACTATAACTCCCATGGCTCAATGTTATGGAATTATGAGAGTTGTAGTGTCACAAGGTCTTAACCCTTATCTGTCAAAGAGTGCTGGTGCCTCTCCAAACTGCATATCCATATCAATGAATCATGCCACTTAATGTGATATCAAACTGCATTGACAGTGTAGAATACCCTCAGGATATCTTCAATCTCCAGCAGATAACTTTCTAGAATAGAGAATATAAATCTGGTGGTTCTTCAGCTTGACCATATTGTGTACAGACTGAATGAAGGAGAACCACATGTCCCAGAAAAGGTCTTATCTCCAATGCCCTTCCAGGCATATTCTCCATTAAAGTGGTATTCCATGTTCTTATATACCAGACATGTATATATTTCAGTCAATTTGCAATACAAAATATGGTATATTCCTTTGGCTCTTTCTTACCAAAAGAATGAAATGTGTTACATTATCCTGTGAGGAAACTCCTCAAATTAAAGCATAACCACATTTGGTTGTAGAAGAAAACCTGAAGGTACACTACACACAGGTTAACTAACAGTTCCCCTCAGGCACAAATTGGTTCAGACTAACTCAACTACCACAAAAATATTGGCATAACAGGAAAACAAAGTTATACCTCTAGGCCAGTGGTTCCCAACTGTGGGTCTCCTACAACTCCCAGAAATCCCAGCTAGTTTACCAGCTGTTAGGATTTCTGGGAGTTGAAGGTCAAAACAGTTGGGGATCCACAGGTTGAGAAGTACTGTTCTAGGTCCACAGGATGTCCAGAGTTTGGAATGTTTGCTGAAAACCCTATTAAGTTCCAGTTGGTGACACAACTGAACTATATATATGGGAATCTGTGCCTTCAAGTCACTTATAGAATCATAGAATCAAAGAGTTGGAAGAGACCTCATGGGCCATCCAGTCCAATCCCCTGCCAAGAAGCAGGCAAGTCCATTCATTTCATAGGATTTACTTAGGCAAGGAATACTCAAGAAGTGTTTTTGCTAGCCTTTTCCCACTGAAATAAAGCCTACAGCACTTCATATTCATTGGTGCTGTAGATCTCCCATTCAAGTATCAACTGAGGCTGACCAGGTGGTTTGGGTGTATTTAAGCCATGTATACCTTACATTTCACACAAATGGGCCTTATGCAAATATTATACCCATATGTGATTGCCCACTGGGTCTGGAGATGGAACAGGTGCATTCTCACTGCCACTGCCATACATATAAAAAATGAGGGCAATATCCTTATTTTTATACTCAATGAGAAACAGGCCCAACAAAATCTCTCATAAAACTGGGAACAGATTGTTCTGCTCTTATTACAACATAGGACCTTTTGTCGAAGTGTTATGTTCAAAGTTTCAGGAGGTGAATTACAAAATCAGCTAATCATGTTCTTTGTCACTAACACAAACTAGGACTGATTTTCTAAACAGCTGGAATCAAAGTACCCAACTTAAAAATAAATAAGCTAGAATCAAAATGGCTTACGAGTATATTCTAATAGGCAATTTCAGTGTGCATACTTTGAGCATTGCACCCTATTGCCACCTATACTTAACGTGCTGTTTCTGTTCCTCATACTTCATTTGTCTGTACTACAATGAAAAAACCATGTGTACATTTGGATACAAACGCTGAGCTCACATGCACCCAGATATTCCGAATTCTCATAATCACAAATGCTTTCTTTCTGTGAAAATTCTGGAATTCGTGCATGCTTTTATTAACCAATGGTCACAAACAAATTCATGGAAGCTACAGCTTTATTCATGACTTCCAGCCATCATGCCAGCTTCATACAACCTCCAGGATCAGAGGCAGCAAGATCATGAACACTGGTTGCTGGGGAACAAGAGCAAGAAAGGGCTCCTGCCACCTTGTTCTGCTTGTGGATCTCACACATGCATCTGGTTTGTCACTCTGTGGAACAGGGTTCTGGACTAGATCTTTTGTGGAATAAGAGCAGGCTTTGGTGCACACAGTACCACGAAGTTCTTGCTTTTAGCCTGGTGACACGTTCCATATCCATTGGAAACGAAATGACGATAATGCATGCGTTTCCGTGGACTCTAATGCCTCCTTCGGAACATTGGAAATTGCCCGTCTGATCCACCTCTAGAATTTTTGTGTCAAACTGTCATGAAATATAATTTTCTTACAGATTGGATTCCAGAGAAAACCATGGCTTTTAATATCATTCAGCACCCAATTGGGTTGGGGTTAATTCCCACGAGGATTATACACATTAGCCTCAGTCGCAAGCAGCACATTCTACCAAGATGCAATTCAGTCATATGCCTTTAGTAGACACACCAAACTGATATAGCTTTGGTACAACTTGACGTGGAATAGCATATGCAAAAGCCCTATGTACAAAGATAACTTTCGGCTGCCTAACCTCAAGCAAGATCACTGTTTCCATTATTAGCCGGTACTTTCAGGGGCTTCCCAGCACGATCATGGAACCACACATTCAGACATGAAAGCAATGTTGCCTCATACGTGGAACATCTTTGCCATAAGCTCTCTATGCTGTAATGCACATGGGTACATTTTAGCCACCGATGTTGCAAACCAGAACACAACTTTGCAAAACTACCTTCTGTTGTCTTTTAATAGAAAAGAGAAATAATGTTTCAAAGGCATCAACTATACCTCCAAAATGAAACAGAAAGGTCTACTAGAAGGAAAAAAATAAACTTAAAGACCTAGCAACCAAAGATGTGGCTATTTGTGTTCCATGTACAACCAGTGACAGAATCCATGTTCAAACCCATTCATGCCACAATACTCAACAGCATAAGCCAGAAAGACTTATCTCCCCTTTATGGACATATATTGCGCGTAGAATATGATGGGTAAAAGCCTAACTTCCAAGATATCAATAGAAATCCAATCAATGAGGTCAGTAACCGGCAAAATTGAGCTTAATGTTGCCAAATACATTCCACAGCACTGATAAGAACAAGCAAAGATAAAGTTTTCACTACAGATCCAGAACTGTTCCCCCCTCCTCCACTTCGCAAATGAACAGTATCCCAAACATATAATGCATTCTACATTCTATCTATTTTGCTGCTACACAAGATGTGGTAATAGATTTAGGCGAGTTGAAAAGACAGAAGTTTATGCAATTGATTCAAATCACACACAGGCAATATCCCAGTACAGAGGCATGACCAGAATGGCAAGCAGCAGTATTATTTTTTCAGTTCAATCATACCTTTAGCATTATCTAAATATGCATCTTTGCAACCAATCCATTAGAAAGCTTCATTAAGAATGAACAAATGCACCATCCAAATAAAAATATTTATTTATGGCTATTAGCTCTTATAACAAATGACAGATTTATCTGCAGCAGAATGACTCAGTGTAAACTTTTAAAGCAATTCCCTTTGACAGCAATGCAACATGACAGCATGGTACATGGATCGACATTCTGGATGTGAATGCACATCTAAAAGCATGATGGGTTACAACAGCAAACAAATTGGTAATATAAGGCCGTACTACCTTCTTGCGGCTCCCTTTCACAACCTGCTCCTTCTTCTGGACCAGCTACAATCCTATCCCTATGGGGGGGAAAATAAACAATACAACACAAAAATAAAAGGTTTTCTCAGTCAGGCTAAACCTACATTGCATTTATCCTACATCCATCCCTCGACTTTACCCGCAACATTCCTTATCCTACACAGCTATCATGGAACGAAATGGGAGGGAAAATGTAACCTGTTCGTGCATCCATGCACTCACGAGGAAGCCTTCAAGCAAAACAAGCTTTTGGAACATGCCAAGTGGATACCATGAAAGAGAGAGTTTGCTACGAGTGAATGAATAAAGCAGCCCACCCCCCAACAAATCTGCTTCCAGTCCAAACACTTCCCCTTTAAAACCAAACGACCCTCCGCCCACACTGACTGCATATGGAGGGAGCTAGGAATTAGGGAGAGCATTTCTGCATTCAAACACACACAACACACACACACACACAAATGCATGCAAAGACACCTTTTCAGCACAGCATGAAAAGGAAAAGCGTGCTACCCTTGGCCAACCCCAGCCACAGACAGACACAAGACCTCAGATATTCCTGCCTTGGAAAGACTTACAGAGCAGCTCCATGCTCCAACACCTGGAGGGGGTGGTTTGTGCCTGTGTGTGTTTGGTCACCCAAGATCTTCTGTCTCTTTAAAGCAGCAAAGGTTTTTAAGCAGAGGCGAGAGGGGAGAAAAAGCAGCAACAGCCTTGAGACTGGGACTCAGGCAAAGCAAGTCGCCTCTCAGCAGCCGCAAGGGAGGCAAGGAGAGAGCATGGGCTCCTGAGAAAGAGCAGAGCAGCCCCAGCAAGGGACTGAAGCCATGGCAGAGCAGCAGGAGCCAAAAGCATGGAGGGGCAGGGCAGCAAAGGCAAGCAGGGGCAAGCAGCTGGGCAGAGAGGCAACAGGGGGAGAAAAGGGGGGTCCCACACATTCTTGGACCAGGAACAAGCACATAGAGGCAAACACCAGCAAAAGCACCATCCCCTTTCCTCTGCTGGCCTCTCCAAATGGACACACAAGCTGGCATGAGCCTGGGGACCTCTCATTGGGTCTGTATCTCAGGAGAACAAGGAGACAATCCCTGGTGTTTTATTACAGCCCCTTCTCTCCAAGGAATAGAGGGATGGAGTGGGTCTATATCCCCTTCCTCAGGAGGACAAAGAGACAATTCCTTCTCTCCAAGAATGACTTCAAGGCAGGGATGGATGGCACACCTCCTGCAGCAGTAAAGTCTCCCCATCTCTCTCACACATATACAGCCTGAGCCTCTCCATGCAACTTTGCTTCTCAGCCTACACATAAAAGCAGGATCCAAATAAATATAGTAATAGTAATAATGTGTTGTTGAAGGCTTTCGTGGCAGGAATCACTGGGTTGCTATGAGTTTTCTGGGCTGTATGGCCATGTTCCAGAAATATTATCTCCTGACGTTTTGCCTGCATCTATGGCAGGCATCCTCAGGGGCAAGTGTGGAATGTCCAGGATGTGAGAAAGGACTCTTGTCTGTTTGAGGCAAATGTGAATGTTGCAGTTGGCCTGACGTTTTGCCTGCATATATAGCAGGCAACCTCACAACCCCTAAGGATGTTTGAGTGGATGATGTTGATGTGGTCCAGGACCTTGTTTAGCTCTTCCTCTCCATGGTTCCTCACAACCTCTGAGGATGCCTCAGGGGAGAATGCTTCTCACAGCCATACAGCCCAGAAAACTCACAGCAACCCAATAATAGCAAGGCAACTCACAGTTTGAGCCCTTCCATTCCACACAGCTCCTTTTCTCCAATGCCAGTCTCGTGCTAACAATGCCAAGAGCAGCCAGCAACAAATGCAATGCGTAATTACGCACCACACACACCTTTTCCCCCTCCAAATAAGATCAATATCAACAATAATAATATAACCCACCCAACATACAACCTGAGCTCCTTCATGCAACCAAGCCATCCACTCTAGAACCAATTTCCAGCTAGCAATGCCAAGAGCAGCCAGCAACAAATGCAATGTGTAATTATGCACCACACACACCTCTTCCCCCTCCAAATAGTATCAACATCAATAATAATAATATAACCCACCCAACACACAGCCTGAGCCCTTTCATGCAATCCAGCCATCCCATCCACAAGCACTCTCCAGCTAGCAATGCCAACAGCAGGCAGCAACAAATACAATGTGTAATTACACACCACACACACCACTTCCCCCTCCAAATAATATATCAATAATAATATAACCTAACACACAGCCTGAGCCCCTTCATGCAACCCAACCATCCCATCCACAACCAATCTTCAGCAGCAATGCCAACAACTGCCACCCAACAAATGCAATGCATAATTACACACCACACACACCTCTTCCCCTTCCAAATAATAATATTATAATAATAATAATAATAATAATATAACCCATCCAACACACAATGTATTGTCGAAGGCTTTCATGGCTGGAATCACTAAGTTCTTGTGGGTTTTTTTCGGGCTATATGGCCATGTTCTAGAGGCATTCCTCCTGACGTTTCGCCTGCATCTATGGCAAGCATCCTCAGAGGTGAGGTCCAACACACAGGTCCAACATCCAACACACAGCCTGAGCTCCTTCATGTAATCCAGCCATCCCATCCAGAACCAATCTCCAGCTAGCAATGCCAACAGCAGCTATGCAACAAATGCAGTGCGTACTTACACACCACACACATCTTCCCCCTCCAAAAAGATCAATAATATTAGTAATATAACCCACCCAACACACAGCCTGAGCCCCTTCATGCAATCCAGTCATATCATCCACAACCAATCCCCAGCTAGCAATGCCAGGAGCAGCTATCCAACAGATGCAGTGCGTACTTACACACCGCACACACCTCTTCCCCCTCCAAATAAGATCAATAATATTATGACCCCCCCCACACACACACACACACACACAGCCTAAGCCCCTTCCTGCAACCCAGCCTTTCCCCTCCTGAGCCAATCTCCAGCCAGCAATGCCAACAGCAGCCATCCAACACATACAGGCGTGAGGAATTACGCACAGCACACACACACACACACCCCTCCCCACCAAAAGACCACCATACATAATGCAACCCAACCATGCAGCTGAAGCCCCTCCATTCAGCCCAAGCACCCCCCCCCTTCCTCATTCTCTCTCTCTCCAAAGCCAGCAGCCAAGAAAGGCGTAATTACGCACCAGACACACACCTCCCTCCCTCCCTGGCCAAAAAATGCAGGAATGCGTAAATGTGCACCACAATAGACACACGCAGACACCTTCTCCTCCAGCTTTTTGGGAAGCAGCCTCGAGAAGGAAACAGGCAGCTTTCGGTCCCAATCCCCCCCCCCTTCCTTCCCCAAACAGTCTCCCTCCCCGACTTAACTCTTCCTTTGGGGGGAAAGAAAGGAAGGGAAGGAGGAGAGGTCCCTCCAGCCCCGGCCTCCTCCTCCTCCTCCTCCTTCTGCACCGCCGCCTCCAAAGCGCCCAGCAGCCGCTCCAAGCCCCACGACGGTCCTGCTCCTGCTCCTGCTGCTGTTGCCTTCTCCTTCGCCTTGCTTTGGCCCCGGCTTGGAAAGTCCCTGGTGCGCTGCCCCTCCGACCCCGCCCCGCACTTCCTCTCCCGCCCTCCCGCAGCCCAGGCTGGAAATCCCCGCCGCCGGTGCCTCCTCTTTCTCTCTCTCTCTCTCCCTCTCCCTCTCTCTCTCTCCTCCTTCGCTCACCTCTTTCTCTTTCTGCGGCTCAGCCCTTCGTCTGGCTCCAAGGAGGTGGAGCAGAAGGGCCGGGCCTGGGCCAAGAGACTGCCCGCCCCTCTCGCGCCTGCCCGCCCGCCTGCCTCCCTCTCTCTTGCGCGCTCCCTGGCTGGCTTTTTCCTTCCCTTCCCTTCCTGGCCAGCAGCGGGACTGAGAACCAAGGGGCTTGCTGTATCTGCTGCTGCTGTTGTGGACTGACCTATGGCGACCCTAGGAAGGAGAGAGGCCTCCAAGCCCTACTAGCCTTAACATCAACAGCTCTTGAAAACCCAGGGACTTTCCAACTGGAATGGCATCATAGGATCCTAGAGTTGGAAGACACCGCAAGGGGCCATGCAGCCCAACCCCATTCTGCCATGAAGGAACTCGCAAATGATTATTTATTTATCTATTTCATAGAATCAAAGAGTTGGAAGAGACCTCATGGGCCATCCAGTCCAACCCCTGCCAAGAAGCAGGAATATTGCATTCAAATCACCCCTGACAGATGGCCATCCAGCCTCTGTTTACAAGCTTCCAAAGAAGGAGCCTCCACCACACTCCGGGGCAGAGAGTTCCACTGCTGAACGGCTCTCACAGTCAGGAAGTTCTTCCTCATGTTCAGATGGAATCTCCTCTCTTGTAGTTTGAAGCCATTGTTTCATGCGTCCTAGTCTCCAGGGAAGCAGAAAACAAGCTTGCTCCCTCCTCCCTATGGCTTCCTCTCACATATTTATACATGGCTATCATTCTCCTCTCAGCCTTCTCTTCTTCAGGCTAAACATGCCCAGCTCTTTAAGCCGCTCCTCATAGGGCTTGTTCTCCAGACCCTTGATCATTTTAGTCGCCCTCCTCTGGACACATTCCAGCTTGTCAATATCTCTCTTGAATTGTGGTGCCTGGAATTGGACACAATATTCCAGGTTGAAAACCCAGGGACTTTCCAACTGGAATGGCATCATAGGATCCTAGAGTTGGAAGGGACCGCAAGGACCATGCAGCCCAACCCCATTCTGCCATGAAGGAACTCGCCAATGATTATTTATTTATTTACTACATTTGTATACCGCCTTTCTCAGCCAGAGGCGATTCATATATAAAAATAAGCAAATCCACAAGAGAGAAACAAATGTAGGGCCAGGAACTGAGAGTTGTTCACCTAAATGCAATGTTGCTCTCACAAAGGATCGTAACAGCAGTTGTTGTTGTTCATTCATTCAGTCGTCTCCGACTCTTCAGGACCTCATGGACCAGCCCACGCCAGAGCTCCCTGTCGGCCGTCACCACCCCCAGCTCCTTCAAGGTCAGTCCAGTCACTTCAAGGATGCCATCCATCCATCTTGCCCTTGGTCGGCCCCTCTTCCTTTTACCTTCTACTTTCCCCAGCATAATTGTCTTCTCTAGGCTTTGCTGTCTCCTCATGATGTGGCCAAAGTACTTCAACTTTGTCTCTAGTATCCTTCCCTCCAATGAGCAGTTGGGCTTTATTTCCTTGACTCGCAGTCCTAGTCTCCTTCCCTCCAGTCGGGCTTTATTTCCTGGAGGATGGACTGGTTGGATCTTCTCGCAGTCCAAGGCACTCTCAGCAGTTTCCTCCAGCACCACAGCTCAAAAGCATCTATCTTCCTTCGCTCAGCCTTCCCTAAGTTCCAGTTCTCACATCCATAGGTTACTACAGAGAATACCATGGCTTTGTAACAGCAGAAACCCACTTAAAAGGCATCAAGCCCTCTCATGACATCATTTCTCACACACCTGCTTTTCCTCTCCTTATCCCTAAGCCAGAGCCCCCAGTGGCACAGTGGGTTAAACCCCTGTGCTGGCAGGACTGAAGACCGACAGGTTGCAGGTTCAAATCTGGGTAGAGGTGGATGAGCTCCCTCTATCAACTCCAGCTCCTCATGCGGGGACATAAGAGAAGCCTCCCACAAGGATGATAAAAACATCAAATCATCCAGGCATCCCCTGGGCAACGTCCTTGCAGATGGCCAATTCTCTCACACCAGAAGTGACTTGCAGTTTCTCAGGTCACTCCTGACACAACAACAACAAAAAAGCCAGAGGTGAGTCATATATAAAAAAAGCAAATCCACAAGAGAGAAGCAAAGTTCAAAAATGTATTTCCAAGACAGCCAAGAATCCAAAATCCTTTCAGATAGGGTCTCAAGAACCTTTCCCCAGATATATCCATAAACATGATAACATGAATCCAAGGGAGGAAACCTATGCCACACATGAAACTGGGACCAGAAACAAACTTAAAACTTGCATACATGAAAACCCACTTAAAAGGCATCAAGCCCTCCCATGACATCATTTCTCACACACTTGCTTTTCCTCTCCTTATCTCTAGGCCACTGGAAAAAAGAAGACTGTCTCTGTTGTATGCTCTGCCTCCAATGTTCCAAGCGCCTTGATCTGGGCAAACATTCATCTCCCACATTTCTCTCAGCCCGCACTTCTGGTAGATTCTCATGAGAACTGATATCACTTTCTCCAGTCTCATGGGAACTGCAAGGAGATTCCAAAACAGCACTCTCCAGGACCCTCCGCAACTATTCCAGCACCCCCTTCCTTCTTCTGTTTCTGAGCCCTCAGAATCTGACCAGGCTACAACACTTACCAAGCATGTTGGTTTTTAGAGGGATAAATGTTGTCTCATGATGTGGCCAAGGTAGAACAGCTTCAGTTTAGTCGTTCTGACTTCTAGCAGGAGCCGAGGCTGATTTGCTCCAGGACCTCTTAAGTCCCCCTATCTTTGACAGCCCTTGCAAACTTGGGGACTTTCTATCAGGAATGGGGTCTTCATCTTTCCCTACTGCGTTCTACCAAACCAAGCATTATGGTCTTTTAGAATGACCATAATGCTTCGTAAGGTGGATGTGCCCCGGAACTGTTGTATTTTGGGCATATTTCATGACACGGCCAAAGTACAACAGTCCCAGGGCTCATCTACCCAGTCCTTCACGATCAGTGGCTGTTGTAACTGACTTATGGTGACCCTATGAAGGAGAGACCTCTAAGGCCCCATTTACACTGCCACATAATGCAGTTTCAGAATGCATTCTGAAACTGCATTGTATAGCAGTGTAGATGAGGCCTACGTCCCACTGTCCCCAATAGGGACTTTCCATCGGGAATGAGGTCTTCCTCTCTCCTGCTGCCTTCTACTCATTGTCTTTTATAGGGAGGCATGCATGGCAAAGTATTACAACTTCAGTTTAGTCATTCTTTTCTAAGGAGAGCTCAGGGAGATTTGTCCAGGACCTCTAAATTTCCCTATCAATCCTCAACTGCCCTTGCTAATTCAGGGACTTCTTTGGACAAGGCCATCCATCTGGCGTGGTCTTTCTCATTCTCTTCTGCCTTGTACCTCACCAAGCATTGTTGCCTTTAGTAAGGAGGCACGCAGTCTCATAATATGGCCAAAGTATGGCAGCATCAGGGCACATCTACACCAATAACTTATCATGGATCAAAAGCATATCAAGAACACTGTGTTTTAATAATGCACAGTATAAATGGATACAGGAACACACATTAGAGCCTTAAGCAAGATCACATTGCATTGTGAAATCAAAGAATGGGTGATCTAGCCATCGGGACGTTGCTCATTATTTTTCCCAGTTCACCAACCTGGTTCTCCACTGTCTCACACACAATCTTCAACAACTGTTTGGTGAGCTGTTGAGAAGTAATGATACAAGTGCTTCTCTGAGCATGTGTTGAATGCTGTTTCCTCCTTTTGTCTCTGAATCGCTGCCTTCAGTCTCTAACACTCAACTGGATAACGTTCTTGCAACAAAAACAACAAAGAGTTCCATAGTACCTGAAGACAATTTTTCATTGCCTGAGCTTTTGTAGACCATATGATAAATGTGCTAGGGTTGTTTTTTTTAAGATACTACATGTAGAGTAATCCTTATCCGAAATGCTTGGAACCAGAGATGTTTTGGGTTTTGGATTTTTTAAAGAATATTTGCATATACATAACAAAATACCTTGGAGACTCGAGTCTAAACATGAAATTCATTTATGTTCAATATGCACCTGATACACATAGCCTGTAGGTAATTTCATACAAGCTATTTATAATTATTGTGTGCATCGGAAAGCAAAGGTCTCATTATCTGAGCCACCCATGCAGGCAATTTTGGAACAGTTCAAATTTCTGGATAAGGAATATTC